TCCTTCCCCATTCCCTTATACTTAGTCTTTCTTGTTCTTTTCTTTGCTATACTGTGTCCCATGTAAACATTTGCTTACATATATACATATATTATTGGCTACATTCCAAATATAACAGGCATTTTTCTGAGAATAAAATACATTCTAAGTTCATCCATTTTCCTGCGAGTTTTTGTTTAACTTTTTTTTTTTAGCACTAAATAACATTCCATTGTTTTAAATATATTGTTGGGATTCTGGAACCCCAAAACCACCAAGAGACCACATCCAATGCAAAAGCAAAGTCTTTTTTTATTACAAGTTAAATGGGGTCCATCTGTCCGTTGGTCCACCCGCTGGTCCGATGGAGGAGGGACCCCCCCAAGAGCAGCAGTGGGGCAGGGGGATAGAGCAAAGGGGGGATGGTCTGGGAGTCTTCAAGTTGCACGGACAGTCTGGGATAGGCACACCTCCAGGCTGGGGGAACCTGTCCTGAGGTAATTGGTCAGCTGCAGCTGGGGAAAGGTTGCTATACCTGGAAGCCATGGGGGAGCGGTTACTGCATTCCACCATTAACAGTAAAGCACATCCAGAGCCCGCCAGCGCCAGCTCACTTCTGATTGCTTCCTTACCAAATGGAGAATACCTGGCAATTTCTTCCCAGTAATTAAGGCAAGGCCAGGGGCTCAGCACATCCTGCTCAGTCAGGGGCCTGTATCTTGCTGGGTCTTTTCTGCAGCCTGTCACAGTTGCCAACTGGGGTGGGGAGTGCTGGGTAAACCCTTCAATACGGCTAATGAAAATTTGGTGTGTGTGTTAATGGACTAGATAGATTTCATTCTTTCCTATAGTGATTAAAGCAGCGATAAACATGGGGGTGCCAATATCTCTATGGTAGGGTATGGGGTTCTTTGAGAAATCTTCAAACTGATTTCCACAATGACTTTATATTAGCTTGCACCACTATCAAAAGTTGATTAAGGGTACTTTCTCTCCACATCCTTTCCAACATTGGTTGTCAGATTTATGGACAGCCATTCTGACTGGGGTGAGGTGGTATCTCAAAGTAGGTTTAATTTGCATTTCCTTAATGGCTAAGGATAGTGAACACTTTAAAAAATGGTTATTGGTCGTTTTTGTTTGGTTTTCCCCATGCAGACCTCAAACTCAGGTATCCACCTGTCTCAGCCTCCTGAGTGCTGGGATTAAAGGCATGCACAGTCACCATCACCATTACTACCCTCCAGCCCGTTTTTATTTAAACAGTTTCTCTACGTCCTGGCTGTCCTGGAACTCACTTTGTAGACCATGCTGGCCTTGAACTCACAGAGATCTACCTGCCTGAGTGCTAGGATTAAAGGCATGCGCCACCACGCCCAGCTCATTTGTACTTTTTGATGACTGGCAATTTTGTTTCCTTGGTATTTAATTTAATTCCTTGTAAATTCTGGCTATCAAGCAGGGCGGTGGTAGCGCACACCTATAATTCCAGTACTCGGGAGGCAGAGGCAGGCGGATCTCTGTGAGTTCGAGACCAGCCAGGCCTACAAGAGCTAGTTCCAGGACAGGCCACAGAGAAACCACAGAGAAACCCTGTCTCGAAAAACCAAAAAAAAAAAAAAAATTCTGGCTATCAGCCCATTGTCTGAGGTGTAGCTAGTAAAGATCTCTGCTCTTGGCTCTGCCCACTGTTCCCTTGTAAGACTTTAAGACAATCCTGAAGCCATTTTTGACAATTCTGAATCCTCTCAGCCTCTGTGCCATAGTGCTTCCCCTCCTCCCCGGGAACCAAGGACCTAACAGCTACACTCACACGTACTCGGTTCCTGAACAATTACTCATATACATATGCTTTGGTTCGGTCCCCTGGGAAACGGGGTCAAAATGACCTCTTACCTCATCTGATCTGGCAACAGCTCTCCAGTCAATTATTGGTAATAGCCCTTGCAAATAAGCCAATCAGAATGTTCAAAGAACAACCCCCCTTGCTTCTGTGGCCCCTTTAAAAGTAGACTGTACCAGCTATTCGAGGTCCCTCGGCTTTCCGAATGCTGGGGGACCCTGTCATGACAGAATTAATAAAATCCTCATGCTTTTGCATCGGCTGTGGTGTATGAGATGGTCTCTGGGGGTGACTCCTTCTCGGTGTTTGGACGCTAGAGTCCAACACCCTTTGATGTACACAAAGTGTTCAATTCCATACAGTTCCATTTGTTGATAGTTTGGGTTAGTTCAGGTAATATATTAAAAAAAGTTCTTTAGGTCAGGCATGATGACACATGCCTTTAATCCCAGCACATGCTGGGGGTCTACAGTGAATTCAAGGACAGGTTCCAAAGCAACAGAGAGAAACACTGCTTCGAAAAACCCAAAACAAAAAAAAAGGGGGAAGAAGGGCTGGAGAGATGGCTCAGAGATTAAGAGCATTGCCTGCTCTTCCAAAGGTCCTGAGTTCAATTCCCAGCAACCACATGGTGGCTCACAACCATCTGTAAAGAGGTCTGGTGCCCTCTTCTGGTCTGCAGACATGCACACAGACAGAATATTGTATACATAATAAATAAATAAATATTAAAAAAGGGAAGAAGAAAAAAGAGAAGAGATGAAGGAGGAGAATAAAGAAAGGAAAAAGAAAGAAAAAAATACAGACCAATTTTTTGATGAACACAGATGCAAAAATTCTTAACAAAATGCTTACAAACTGAATTCAGGTATACACTGAGAAGATTACACATTATAACCAAATGGGCTTCATCCTAGAAAGGCAACATTGTTACAACATACATAAACCAATAAATGGAATACAAACAAACTCAAGGACAGAAATTACATTAATTATTTAAACTGATGTTTAAAACACATTGGACAAGTTCGACAAGTTTTTGTGATAAAAGCTCTGGAGACTGTAGGAACAGATGGAAAACACCTCAAAATAATAAAGGTTATATACCAACATGTTATTATAGCCAACATTATATTAAATGGAGACATACTGAGCATTTCCTCTAAAATCAGGAATGAGATAAGGAAAGTTGCCCACTTTCTACCTGTTTTCTACAGTGTCAAAGTCTTAGCTGTAGCAATTAGACAAGAGACATAAAAGGGGTAATAGGAAGGGGAAAAGCTACACTCTTTTCTGAGTCCCACTATGTAGCCCTATGGAACTTGCTATGTATACCAGGTGGCCTCACACTCATGGAGATCTGCCTGACTATGCCTACTGAGTGCTAGGATCAGAGCTGTGTGCCACCACACCCAGCCCATTTCCTGTTTTTAAGTTTTTGAAGAAAGAGTCTTTTGATGAAGCTCAGACTGTCCTAGAACTCATGGAAATCTTCCTGTCTTGGCTCTCAAGTGTTAGATTACAGGTATGGGCTACCAACCACACTTGGTGACTCACATCGTTTTTATGTTTGTTCATTTTGGCCAGAGAGTTCAGTTTGCCTTTGTTCAACAGAGTCAGCAATTTCTCTTTTCCTGGTGGTACTGGGGATGGAACCCAAGGCTTTACATATGTTAGGCACATACACCAACACTAAGCCCCATCCCTAGTCCCAATTATCTTATCATCCTGTTCTGGGGTGTTTTGACTCTTTTCAATGTATGCCATAGGCATTTAGGTATTCTTATCTGTGGCCCAGATCTAAGTCAAATACCATTTATTGCATGAATGACTTAAGCTTCAAATATGATTTAGAAGCAATAGTGTCTAATACTCTGACTTCTCTTGTTGATTTTTATCTTACACCATTAAGCAGGAAAAATGTTCAGGATTCTCAACAATAACCTTTTAAAAAATATATAATTACCTAGGGCAAGCAGAGAAACTGCATGAGTCAGAAATAGCTTTTAACCTGCAAGCTAATAATTTAGGACTAAAAGTGACTGGCTTCTTTGGAAATTAGAAGTAACCCATCCCATCTGTGGGCATAAGTCTCCATGTCTCTTCAGTGCATCATCACCTCAGTGACATTCCTGGAGGTCTGCCCTGGATCAAGGATAACGGATGTCCTACTAGAGTTCTCAGCGGGGGCAGCAGTTTTCCCTTACTCAGACAAACTACCAGAAATAAAGTGTGAGGAGGAAAGGTCTATTTTGGTTCACAGTTTTGGAGGTTCTAAGTCATGGCCTAAGCAATCTCTAGCAGGCCGTTAGCTTTCAAAGGTCAAAAATAAGTGCTACTAGCATCATCCTGGGCAAGAATCCTTTAACATATGGATATATGGGCTAGAGAGATGGCTCAGTGGTTAAGAGTGCTTGCTGCTCTTTCAAAGGACCCAAGTTTGGTTCCTTGCATGTAGCTTCAGTTCCCAGGGGACTTAACACTAATGGTCTCTGAAAGCATCTGTACTCATAATTGCACACTCTCACACAGGCACACACATAATATAACTAAAAATACAATGAACCTTAAAAAAAGAAAGATATGGGTCTTTGAAAGCCATTCAAGATCCAAACTCAGGAAGCTGTTCTGAGATGTAGCACTGGAGATTCTATAGTGTTTGTGTGAGGACAGATCTCATCATTTCTTTTTTTTTTTTTTGTTTTTTCGAGACAGGGTTTCTCTGCGGCTTTGGAGCCTGTCCTGGAACTAGCTCTGTAGACCAGGCTGGTCTCGAACTCACAGAGATCCGCCTGCCTCTGCCTCCCGAGTGCTGGGATTAAAGGCGTGCGCCACCAACGCCCGGCAGATCTCATCATTTCTATGCTCCAAGAGGGAACTCTGTATTGGATAGGTAATTTAACTTGTCCTGCACCCTGAGCAGGGAAATGAGGCTAAGAAATGAAGTAGCTCCACCTCAGTCATCTCAGTTCCCACCTGAATTCACAGCTCACATACTGGTTTTGATGTCATCTTCCCACTTTTTAAAATGGGTTTTATTATATTCTAAATTTTGGTAAATAGTCTGGTCTATCAACTCACACCTCTGTTCTTGCTCCTCAAAGGAGGATAGAACAATTGTCTCCTATCTTCTCCATGGCATCCATTGCAGATTGCAACACAAATAGCGACAGCCTGGGGGATGACAGTGGTCCACATGTCAGTCTTCATCCGAGTTACTGGGACCCATGTACTGGCAGATAGCATCATAGTGGAGCTCTACAACCTGGTTCTCTCTCCCAAGTTGCACCAAAGCTTGACTCTGCACGCTGTCCCGACTCAGAAGAAGTCCCACCTGAGGAGGAATGGGGAGAGTCAGCAAAGGCAGCCTAGATCCTCAGTGATCTCCAGAGTCATTTCCAGGTGTGGGGACTCACCTTTCCAGCATGTGGTCCCAGCACCACCATCACACGGTGACCCTCTCCCTTGGGAATCAGGGTTTCCAGCATGTTTTCTGTCACGCCTACAGATGAGGTAGAAAGAAATGAGATCGCTGGGCGGTGGTGGCGAACGCCTTTAATCCCAGCACTTGGGAGGCAGAGGCAGGTGGATCTCTGTGAGTTTGAGACCAGCCTGGTCTACAAGAGCTAGTTCCAGGACAGGCTCCAAAACCACAGAGAAACCCTGTCTCGACAAACCAAAAAGAAAAAAAAAAAGAAAAAGAAATGAGATCCACAGCAAGGGCCAGCCTGGCCAGATCCTGTCAGAAAGGCCTTTGCTAATATTTATTAGAGCTACTCCCTACTCGCAGATAGGGTTTCTCTGTGTAGACTTGGCTGTCTGGGAACTCAGAGTTCTACCCGCTTCTGCTTGAGCGCTAGGATTAAAGGTGTATGCTACCATCGCCTGGCTGACAGAGCTACTCTTATATCTTGTTGATATACGGAGTCCCACTCTACCCATTTCACAGGTGAGAAAACCAAGTTGTCCACAGAAATAACCACCATACAGGAGCATTTTCCTACAAAAACTATTTACTGGGCATGTTCTCAAGCTGCCCTGCAGCGTGAGCCTACTATGTACTTCTTTCTGTAAAGGCAATAGTTTTGAGAGGGACAAATAGTCATTTTAATGTTAATCTGACATGGAAAATACACAGGACTTAGGTAATTCCTCCCAAGAAGTATGCGCTCTGAAGAGGATGCTGGACCGGGAACTCACTTTGTGTAGAGTAGACGGGTCTCAGACTCAAAGATCTGCTTGCCTCTGCCTCCCCAAATGCTGGGATTAAAGGTGTGCACCACCACCGCCTGGCTGGCTTTCCTTTTCTTTTTAAAACAAGATCTTACCCAGGTTGGCCTTAAACTTGTAGGAATCCTGCTTCAGTCTCCTAAGTACTAGAATGGAGCCTTCCTTTCTTTCTTCTTAAAAATTTATTTTAGATTTATTTTACAGGCATGAGTATTTTAGTTGCATGTATGTCTACGACTCCATGTGTGTGTCTGTTACTCACTAATGTCAGAAGAGGGCATCATATCCTCTAAAACTGCAGTTACAGACAGTTGTGAGCTGTCATATGGGTGCTTGGAATTGAACCTCTGTTTTCTGGAAGAGCAGCCAGTGCTCTTAACCACTGAGCCACCTCTCTAGCCCCTGAATAAACCTTTTCTTTATCATCCTCTAGGATGGGAACATCCCAGGTATAGTGATTCAGATTTACCTTCTAGAACTCGGCCTTCATCTGTCCGACACACACAAGTATCTGGGCTCGGGACATCTTCAATTGTCATCTAGAGAGATGAATGAGGAGGAAGTAAGATGTTAGAAAGTTAAAGGGCCCAGTACCTGGGTGAGGAAGGGGACAGGTTGTGGGGTTCATACCTTGGTGTTGTAATACCGGCCACCCTTGTGCAGTTTGTCAATGAACCTCACACGTAAGTCCCTGTGTAACCAGTGCTTGTTCTTAGTGGTTGTTTTCTCACTCTTTGCCACAGGTCCATCCTGTCTGTAGAGAAAGCCATCACCTGGCTTAGCTTTTTCTTCAGCCATGTTGAAGGCAACCTATCTTTAAAGGACATGCTGTAAAACCTACCCCACTGCTGCTCCCAGTTCCTTCTATGCCCTGCCTTGCCTTGGAAGTTCTCCCTGACTGCTTGAGCCTCCCCATACCTTGCCTTCTTCTGCAAGCCCAGAGACCCAGGCTCCTACCGATCTGGAGGGTGTTTCCGCTTCCTCTCTGAATCCTTCTGCCTCCTCTTTGAGTCCTCCTGATTCTCGAGGGCCTTCAATGACAAGGCTGTTCCAGTTGTTCTGTTCTGCTGCTCTGTGCAAGTTTTGCTCACATGGCCTGTCAAGGGGGTATAGGGACATCAAGGAGAAAGTTTCACTGGCATTTCTTCTCAAGGGCTAGTGTTCTCCTGCCAAAGGCCCCATTCCCTATCCACTTCCTTCAGGAAGTTCCTCTCAACCAGCCAGCCCACAGCAAAGACACAGCAAAGTCAACTGCCTAGTGTTAATGACAGGGTTGAAGACCTGCAGGGACCTCTAAGCTGCCCCCCACAACCATTACTGTTCTGTTTGCCTCTCCTTTGCGCACACCCTAAGCGTCCCGAGTCTCATATTTAGCAAAAGAGAGGATCATCACTCTTAAGACACAAGGACCTCCTGGTTTCCATGCCCATTTCTTGCTGCTTAGAGTGGATGAAGATGCAGTGTATTAGGTCAACCCTTTCTCAAACTGAACAAACTAGGCTGCGGATATGGCTCCATGGGAAGAGTCCACTCAGTACTGTAAAAGCTGTGGGTTCTATTCTTAGCACCACCAAACAAAAATTAAATGAACTATTTTTGTCCCTTCTCATGCTTGGCCTCTGATTGGAAGTCCCACACTACTCTTCTTCCATCCATATCCGGAGAGAGCCTGCCTGTTCCCATGCTTCCCCGAGTTTCCAGCTGTAAGAGTCTCACCTGGCTGTGAGGTGTGGCTATCAAACTCCTGCTGGGAAACAGGCCGTAGGCAATACTCACTAACAGTCACAATGCTGTTGCCTACTGCCAGCCGAACCATGGCCCGCACATTGTCAGGATCAAGGCCTTCTACCTAAGGTGGGAGGTAGGGATAAGGCAGGGGTAAATCGACTACAGCTGCTAGGTCTAAAATGTCTTGCCCTTACCTCCAAATGGTCTGAGCTCTCTGTGTCTGTCTTACCTTGCTGTGACTTGTTCATCTGTTTGGTTTGTTTTTGGATAGAGGCTCTCACTATGTAGCCCTGGCTGACCCATAACTCAAATCCACCAGTGTCTGAGTGCTCAGATTAAAGGTGTATACCACTATGCTCAACTGGAGGCTGTGGCCTTAGATGCCTAAGACCAAGCATGGTTCCTTTCTACTAAACTATGATTCCTAAGAAGTGGGACTAGGCATATGTTCCTGTCTCCCTTAGCAAAATGTAAAACAAAGACTTCTTTGTGTGTATATGTGGTGTGTGGAGGACAGACGTTCACATGAGGTGTCTTCCTTGAATGCCCATCACTTTTTTTTGAGACTATGTAACTAAGCCCTGGATGGCCTTGAACTTACTATATTAGCAGGCTGGCTTCAAAGTTCTGCAATCTGCTCGTCTTTGTCTTTTAAGTGCTGGTTAAAGGTATAAACCACCTTACTCCTTTGAATTTTCTAATTTATATGTGTGTGTATTTTGCCTGCATGTATGTGTCTGTACACCATGTCATGCGTGTGCCTGGTGTCTGCTGAGCCTAGAAGAGGGTGCAGGATCCTATGGAACTGGAGGTATAGACAGTTGTGAGCTGCCTTGTGGGTGCTCGGAATTGAACCAGGGTCCTCTGGAAGAGGAGCCAGTGCTCTTAATGGCTGAGCCATATCTCCAGTCTCACAATCAATCAATCTCTCTCTCTCTCTCTCTCTCTCTCTCTCTCTCTCTCTCTCTCTGAGACAGTGAACCTGGAGCTCATTGACTCAGCTAGGCTGGCTGGCAAATGAGCTCGAGTTCCACCTAGAGTCTCTACTCCCCAGCTTTGGGTTATAGAGGCATGTGTGCCTGGCTTTTGTGTGGATCCAAACTCATGTCCTCATGCTTGCATGCAAGTCAGTCACTTTACATACTGAGACCATCTCCCCGCCTCTCACTTTTTTTCAAGATAGGTTCCAGGCTAGACTAGTACTTAAGTTTCAAGGACATTGTGGGATACATCATTCTCTCCCTTTTGGTTGAGAACCGAGGCTCAAAAAGGCCCAGCAAATTGTTCTGGAGTACCTACCGAAGTAGTGAACAAGGCAGGCCTGCAAGAGTAGGACTTACAGGGCTGAAGGAGATAGCTCAGCAGTTGGGACAAGTCTAACTCTTGCAGAGGACCTGAGCTCAGTCCCCAGAATCCATGCTGGGTGGCTCACAATCACTTGTTAATCCAGATCTACGGGCAACCCAATATTGAGCATGTGTCCTCACCTATCCAAACCCACATACATACACTTGTTTTTGTTGTTGTTTTGAGATAAGAGGTCACTATGTAATCTTGACTGGCCTGGAACTCACCATGTAGACCAGGCTAGCCTCATATTCATAAAGATCTGCCAGCCTCTGCCTCCTGGGTGTTAGGATTAAAGGCATATACTACTATGCCTGGCTACACATTAACATAATTTAAGAAACAGTGCCATGAAGAGTTTAGATTGAGCGAGTTCCTTCCATTCTCACTTCCTGGAAATTTTGGTGACTGCTCTTGGTTGGGGGCTGCCCTGAACATAAGATAGAAAGATGGCGGCCACAAAGACAGCAAGGTCTCGGAGTCAATCAACTCTAGCTTCCAATTTGTTATGAAAAGTGAAAAGCAGATGCTAGGATACAAGCACACTCTGAAGATGATCAAACGGGGCAAAGCAACATCGCTTATTCTCACCAACACCTGCCAGCTTTGAGGCAATCTGAAATAGAATACTATGCCAAAACTAGTGGCAGTAACACTGAATTGGACATAGCAAGTGGAAAGTACAACAGAGTATTCTGCTGGCTAGGTCATTCTGGTGTTATTAGAAGCATGCCAAAAGAGATTGGTGAAAAGTAAACCAGAAAAGCTCTTTTTAAATAAAATTACCAGAGCTCATTTTATTGCTGTTTGCGTGTGTGTAACCCTCCCACAAATCCTGCTCTACTCTTTCAAATTCCTGGCCTCATTTTTACTAATTGTTTATATATCTCCATCCCTAAATAAAACCTGCTCAGTCCATATAATGCTACCTGTGTTTTCAGGGCTGACTGTTTGGCATTTAACTTTCCTCGGTTGCCTGTAGTTCTTTGTGTGGGGTTGAGGTCTCATGGGTTTTTCTCCATCTAGTCTGGCATGCTTATTGATGCCATCCTTGTTCAGCTCGTGCTTGGTGAGATTTTATGGATGTAGCTTCTGATTGTTGCTAGGAGACAGCAATCTTATAGCAAAGTCCTCCTTGATCCTTTGGTCTTACTTTCTGCCCCCATTTCTGCAATGTTTCATGAACTTTAGGTTCAGCAATGTTTTGTAGATGTAGCTATTGGGACTGGGCTCCACAAGCCACCATGTGGTTGCCGGGAATTGAACTCAGGACCTTTGGAAGAGCAATCAATGCTCTTAACCGCTGAGCCATCTCTCCAGCCCCTGGTTTATTTATTTTTGTAAAAGGGTCTTGTTTGCATCCTAGGTTGGCCTTGAACTCTTGGAAATTCTTCTGCCTCGGTCTCCTAAGTGCTAGTATAATAGGTATGTTCCACTATGGCCTGCTTCTTTCTCGTGGTTTTATTTTTTCCTGTTAGGTACTTCTTACTATTGACCCAGACCTCTATGCCTTTAAATTTTTTATTTTACTTTAGAAAGTTACTAGGCTGCTTTTGGACTTACTATGTAACCCAGGCAGGTCTTGAATTTGTCATCTCCCTGCCTCAGTTCCTGGAGTATTGGGATTATAAGCATGTACGACACTGGCTTGACTGGCAGCCTTTCTATCCACAATTCTTCCTCACTTGGGCCCTCAATGCAATCTTCCCTTCTACCTGAATGGCTTCAGGGATATGTTGGTTTCTTACCTTCCCGTAGAGGCCCCAGTAAGGGCCAGAAAGGACCACAACTGCTCCTCCAGGAATCAACCCTTGAAGTTGCCCTTCCTTATCCTTCTCTCGATCCCCATCTGGTCTTGGTGGGTGGTGAGAGCCAGTGGAGGCTAAGGCCTGGGCCTCCATCAGATTGGCACCTAGCCCTAAGCCTTTGGGCCTTAGAGAGTTGACTCGGGGCTTCACTACTCTGCAGAAAGAACACAGGCTTATGGGAGTACAAGTCTTCAACACTTTCCTGCCAGTGCCCAAACACACCCCAGAAATACTTAGTTTTAATTTTTGTATTTATGTGTGTATGTTTGTGTACCATGACACACATGTGAAAATCAGAGGACAACTTGTGAAGTCTATTCTCTTCTACCATGTGAGGCTGAGGTTGTCAGGTTTACCTTACCAATCCCACAGCTATATTTACAATTTTTTTTTGAGACAGGGTTTCTCTGTGGCTTTGGAGCCTGTCCTGGAACTAGCTCTTGTAGACCAGGATGGCTTCGAACTCACAGAGATCCACCCGCCTCTGCCTCCCAAGTGCTGGGATTAAAGGCGTGCGCCACCACCGCCCAACCTCCACAGTTATATTTAGATTACCCTTTTTGATATCACATTAGAACTTTCTGAGCTATAAAAATGCCAACTTTTCTTTTTTGGTGTTAGGGGCTGAATCCAAGGCCTCAAAGTATGACAAGCATACTGAGGTGCACTCTTAGAACCCTAAAATAGCAATTGCATTTGGTTCAAGTGAATTAACTTGTTGGGCATACTAGCTATTATATCTTACCTACAAGTGCCAAGTTAGGTTTGTATAAACAAATATAGCATTATCTCTATAGAAGAAACCATATGATATGTATACAGAGCAAGTAGAACAGTTCAGAAACAGTTCCATACAGTCTTATTTGACTACCAAATGACTTAGGAATTCTTTGGGATTTACATCTGTGAAGGGATTCTGTTTTTCAGTCCTAGGGATGGAACTCAGGGCCTTTTACATGCCAGGCAAGCCTCTATCATGGAGCTATACACAAGCCCAACAAAGGGATTACAACTCTATGAAGTAAGAGTAAACATGTTTAATTTCTGCTTTCTAGGGACTAAGGTCTGCCATGTGCACTTCATGAGTATAATTTCATTTAGCTCTTGCAACAAACCTGTGAAGGCAGCACTATCGCCTGCATTTTTCAGATGAGCAAACTGATCCACAAAGAGGAAACTTTATGTAAGTGGGATCTTTCTTACTGTTTTGAAGGCAACCCTGAGGTCATTTGATTATTGATTTATTCTGTTGCAACAACAAACTTGAACCTAGGTTCTGTGGAAACCAGAGTTTGGAACAGTAGTGGGCAACTATTGAACTGGTGAGGGCGATAATGATCTCCCTAACCACCTGGAAGGTTCTAGATTAAACCTAACCACAGGATCTTGTTCATACCCACTGTCCACCCCTACCCCCGACCGAACTCACTGACTGAAAGTATTGCCGATGCCTTTGCCAGGTTTCCATCCCATGCCCCGCAACATGGCCAGCCCGTAGGCCTCCACAGGGACTGCCTCATAGTCAGCTTCCTCTGGCACCTATTGGTCAGGCAGGAAAAGGAAGTCAGGCTTTGTTTGTGATGGGCTGTTTGCAGTGTATTTTCTGCCATTCATGAGATGACTTCCTACACCTCTGGCCCTTGAACATCACGTGTGTGCCTGGTTTCAGTGCAGGTCAGAAGAGAACACTTGATGCCCTGGAACTGGAGGTATAGGAGTATGGGACTTCAACCCAGAATTTCTACAAGAGCAACAGGTGCTCTTAACTTCTGAGCCATTGCTCTAGTACCCCTTATCCCCCAGTTGTTTTTTTTGGGGGGGGGTTGGTTTTTTTTAATGGTTTGAGACAGGATCTCCTTGTGTATCTCTGGCTGTTCTGGAACTCTCTATGTTGACTAGACCAAGCTGCCCCCTAACTCACAGAGATCAACCTGTCTCTGTCTCCCGAGTGCTGGAATTAAAGATACATACCACCACACCCTGCTCTCAACAAATATTTAAAAGAATCTATTATAGAGGCTGGAGAAAGAGCTCAGTGGTTAAGAGCCATGCTGCACATACTTACATGTAGGAAAAAATTATGCACATGAACTAAAAATAAATATTAATTCCTTAAAACTTTTTAAAGGAACTATTTTGTGCAAAGTGCTATTTTAGGTGCTGAGGATAAGGAACTAATAAAATGGAAAACCTCTTTTGGGGCTTATGTTCTAGTTGTCAAGACATTACAATAAATCAATCACGAAAACATGATATATCAGGTGGTGATACATTTATAAAGAAAAACAAAGCAGTAATGTGCACAGTGGCACTGCCCAGTATCCTAACTATGTTTGAGACAAGGAGGGAATGTGGTTTAAAGCCAAGAATCTGATACCAGCCTGGTAACACGGTAAAACCCTATCTCAGAAACAAAAACCAAAAATTGGGTAAGGGAATAGAAAGAGAGAAGAGTGCCACTGACAGTTAATCAAAGATTAAATAGGAGAAGGAGTGAGGCTAGGCGAAGGGTGCTCTGCTCTGAACAGACACAGCTGTAAAAAGTAAAGGTCTACGGGGCCTGGAGGCACAGGCCCCAGGGGAGGAGGGAGCAGATCTCTGCGAGCTCAAGGCCAGCCAGAACTCCACACTGAGACCCTGTTTCCCCCCTCCCCCCACCCAAAAAAAACAAGCGGGGTCTGGAGAAATGGCTCAGAGGCTAAGAGCACTGACTGCTGTTCCGGGGGACCCGGGTTCATTCCCAGCACCCACATGACAGCTTACTGCTGTCTGTAACTCCTGTTCCAGGGGATTCAACATCCTCTTACATACTTGCTGGCAAAACGCCAATGTACATTAAACAAACAAACAAACAAACAAACAAGGGAGCTGGAGAGATGGCTCAGGGGTTAAGAGTACTGGCTGCTCTTCCAGAGGGCCCAGGTCAGTTCCCAGCATCCATATGGCAGCTCACAGTTACCATGGATACAGAGTATCTAAAGAAGTGGGGACACAGGGGCGGGGAACTATGATGGACACAAAGCCTGATAGAGGTGGAGATGTGAAAACCAGAAGTCCAGGGTCATGATTGGCGACAGAATGAATTCAAGGCCATCTTGAACTACACAAAACTGTCTCAAAAAGAAGAAACCCAAAGAATATCTGAAGACTAGTGATAATGGTTCAGGTGAAAGAAAGGGTGTATTACAAAAAAATTACGAATAAAAGCTAAAAGGCTGAGCTCAAAAATGTTATTGAATAATAAAGCTTTATCTTTTACAGCTACCCCATACACTGCAAGTTGCCTCAGATCAACACATAACACACCGATTGAACACAAGTGTGCTTTTAATGGGCTGTTGCTGCCATTAAAAATACGCACACTAGGCCAGGTGGTGGCACACACCTCTAATCCCAGCACTAGGGAGGCGGAGGCAGGTGGATCTCTGTAAATTCGAGGCCAACCTGGTCTACAGAGCTAGTTCCAGGACAGGCTCCAAAGCTACAGGAAAACCCTGTCTCGAAAAACAAAACCAAACAACACAAATAAACAAAAAAACCCCAAAATGCTCACACCGATCTTTCTTTCCTTGTCAGACTCTAACCTTCCAGGCGTCACTGCTGCCACTCCTCTGAGTGTCCTAGCCACCTCTGCCTGCACTATGATACTTGCTTCCTTCCTTACCTTCACTTATTAGTCATACTTGGTCATGGAAAACAGAGGGATACTATTACAACCCTTGTCTGTTGAGGATTTTCCCACAGCTCTCAGTTCATTCACAGAAAAGACAACTCCTCCCTGTGGCTCAGAAGGCCCTTTTTCATCTGCCCCCCCCCAACTTTATCTATGGCCTGACCCCTCATTCATTCCAATCCAGTCACACTAGCTTCCTTAGTGTTCTTTAAGTACTACAGGTTAAAAAAAAAACAAAGAAGCTGGGGAGTGGTGGCACAAACCTTTAATCCCAGCACTCGGGTGGCAGAGGCAGGCAGATCTCTGAGTTCTAGGCCAACCTGGTCTACAGAGCTAGTTCCAGGACAGGCTCCATAGGTACAGAGAAACCCTGTCTCAAAAAACAACAACAACAAACAAAGCAACAAAAAAGAACAAAGAAAGAAAAAAGGAAACAAACAAATGTGGTTCTAAAGAGTGTGTAGTATCTTGACGGAAGCACTTTTTAAAAACACTATCTATTTGTTACACTGCTAATAGGGTGGAAAGAAGAAAGGCTAATCAGCAAGGCTTTGGGACGGACAGACAGACAGACGGACGGACGGACACACACACACACCCTGCGATGTTTCAAGAGGCTAGGCAGACAGGGACGGACGGACGGACACACACACACACCCTGCGATGTTTCAAGAGGCTAGGCAGACAGGGTAGAGGGAATGATGCAGGAAGGAGGCAAAGGGGCAGCTCACTGTCTCAGCCTGAGGTTCGCTGTCTGTTCCTTCCCCACCGGGACTGCATCCTTTCTGGATCATAGGGATGGTAAGTGTGGGATCAACACCTGCATTCTCCCTCTCCTCCAGGGACTTCTTGGATTCTAAGGAAGAATGGGAGGGATCAATGAGGCCATACTCTCTCCTTCCAACTTCCCCCTCTTCTATCTGCATTGGGGCAGAGCAGAGCGGGAAGGTTTCACTTACCCTCAATGAGCTCCTTCACAGCCAGGGACAGCACACCATCTGACATCAACTCAGTCCTAGTTTCTGAGGATGGCTTAGGGCTCTTGGACTGTGCTTGCCTGCGAGAGCCATTCTGGATCAATGGGATGACCAGTTCCTTGGGGGCTTCTGGAGGGTTCACACTGATGTGGGGAGAGAGAGAAAAGGTTGGGAAAGCAGAAATATCAACCCAGTCCTATGAACCATGTTCCACGGGTTACTTTTCACAGGTCCCCGCCCCCCACGCTCATTTCTTTTTTAACACTATCTCACTATGCAGCCCAGGATGGTCTTACAAACTCAGTCCACCTGTGCAGCCCCCTAGTGCTGGAATTACAAGCATGCATCATCTCTCCTTGTGTCCCCAGCTTTCGATGTGAATTGTGGAAATCATTCCTAGGTTCTCAACCACAATGACCTACAGATTCTCCCCAGTTCCAGGCTAGCAAACTGCTTTCCAGACAGCTGTCTTCCAGAAGTCCTTCCCTTTGGAATTCCAGATCAGTTTCTTTTTTTAAAAAAAATATTTTTTATAATTTATTTAACTTTATTTTATGTACATTGGTGTGACGGTGTTAGATCCTCTGGAACTGGAGTTACAGACAGTTGTTAGCTGTCATGTGGGTGCTGGGAATCGAACCTAGGTCCTCTGGAAGAGCAGTCAGTGCTCTTAACCACTGAGCCATCTCTCCAGCCCCAGAACAGTTTCTTAATTATGCCTCCCAAAACCTGATTTTGCCTTGTTCTCCAAATCGGAAAAGCTCCCAAATAGTTCAGACTATCATTCTCCCTTCTTTCCCTTTCTCTGAACGCACATGTCCTCAAGTCCCAACGACTTTTTGAGAATACATGCCTCTGCCTCTGGGCATCGCCCATTTCACCCCCCCCTCTCTAACAAACCTCCTCCTTCTTGCCATTAAATTATTAAATTTAATAATAATTAAACTAAATTTTATTTTTCTTTCTGCTTTTTTGTTTTTAAGATAGGCTCTCATATTGCCCAGGCCAGCGTTCAAATCTCGAGCCTCCTGCATCAGCCCCCCACGTGTTGTCATTATAGGCGTTTGCCGCCACTTCTAGATGCTTCCATAAATTTCTTACGGCTGTGTTTGAGGCTTTCCAAGTCACTGTCACCAAGACAACTCATATTCTGGCCTTCCGCGTACGTCCACCGCACTGAAATGCAAAACGTGAAAGACTCGGTGTTTTACCTCTGCAGCTCCCTCCCTTCCACAGTCTTTAAGAAATCTTTCTCCTCTGAGGCCCGTCCTTCGCCGACTCCGGGGTCTGCCAGTCGCCTCCGGGCAGAGGTGCGAGTGAAACCGAAAGAAATCGGGGCCGCTGAAGGGACAGCCTGCCTTGCACTTTCTGGGTCCGCCATCTTGTCTCAATTCCCAGGCTAGCGCGCTGCTTGCTGGGAAGTTTAGTTTAAGCTCAATACACTAGGGGCCCGCCAAGGAGCAAAAGAACAACCTATCCCACAATACAATGCTTCTAGGCCGGCCTTGAAGCCGTGGGAAAAAAACGATCCTGCGTTTAAACGCCTAACGTCATAGGAACGTGCCGCGCCAAACCTTCTGGGAAATGTAGTTCTCAGTGTAGTTCTTGTTAGAGGATCGATTCGGTTCTTGTGAGGTTTTCAAATATTTAGAGAACTACATTTCCCAGAAGGTTTGGCGCGGCACGTTCCTATTCACCAGCTGGCCTAGGTCTGAAAAAGCATGGGATAAATCCGGACTAGCTGAACATAGCGGACAATGAGGAATACTGAGAATTCAAGAACAATTGCAGTGGGTTTTTGATCCTACTGCACGTACTGGTTTTGTGGGAGCCTAGGCAGTTTGGATGCTCACCTTACGAGACCTGGATAGAGGTGGGCAGTCCTTGGGCTTCCCACAGGTCAGGGAGGGAGGGGGACTTGATTGGGGGAGGGGGAGGGAAATGGGAAGCGGTTGCGGGGACGAGGCAGAAATCCTTAATAAATAAATAAATTTAAATAAAAAAAAATCTTTGTAAGGCAGTTTTAGGGCATCCGATACCCACTTTCAAACTCCGCAGGCACCATGCACACACGTGATTCACATACATAAATGCAGGCAAAATGCTTATATACACAAAATAAATAGATCTTGTTTGACAAATACATATGAGCATCCAAAATATATACTTTACTGATGTAGGAAGTGTCATAAGGAGAAAACACAGGACTGTGTCAGGGATGTGGTTCAATTTGCAGTGATGGTAATTTAAACCTTGGGCCTCGCCTAGGCAAACACTGTACCACTAAACTATATTTAATTTTTCTTTTTTAAAAAAATTTATTTATTATGTATACAATATTATTTTGTCTGTGTGTATGTCTGTAGGCCAGAAGAGGGCACCAGACCTCATTACAGATGGTTGTGAACCACCATGTGGTTGCTGGGAATTGAACTCAGGACCTTTGGAAGAGCAGGCAATGCTCTTAACCACTGAGCCATCTCTCCAGCCCATATATTTTTCTTTTCTCTTTTTTTCTCCTCCTTTTTTTTCCTTTCCCCATCTTCTTATACTTTCTTGTCAAATGTCTTTAGAGCACATGCTTTCCTTTCTTTTTGATTTATTTTGTCTTTCGAGATAGGGTGCTGGGCGGTGGTGGCGCACGCCTTTAATCCCAGCACTTGGGAGGCAGAGGCAGGCGGATCTTTGTGAGTTCGAGACCAGCCTGGTCTACAGAGCTAGTTCCAGGACAGGCTCCAAAATCACAGAGAAACCCTGTCTCGAAAAACCAAAAAAAAAAAATAGGGTTTCTGTGTAGCCCTGGCTAGCCCGGAACCCGCTTTGTAGTCTAAACTGGCCTCAAACACAGATTTATCTGTCTCTGCCTCCCGAGTGCTGGGATTAAAAGCCTGCACCACCATGTCAGGCTTATTTCTTTTTATTTTATGTGCATTGGTGTTCTTCCTGGACGTATCACTGTGTGACAGTGTAAGATCTCTTGGAACTGAAGCTACAAAGGAGGAGGTCTAAGGCAAACTCTATGTAAGCTGCCATGTGGATGCTGGAAATTGAACCTGGGTCCTCTGGAAGAGGAGCCAGTGCTCTTAACCATGGCACCACCTCTCCAGCCCTGGAGCACATGCTTTCTATGTTGCAGTTTTCTGACCCTTTTGAGTTTTTGGATGAAGCAGTGTCTTCTGGTCTTTGCCACAAAGGACAGGGAACCTTCTGGGCTGGAGCCTCTTTACCTGGGTGCCTTCTCCCCCTCCCTCTTCCTCTCCCCCTCCCTCTTCCTCTCCCCCTCCCTCTTTCTCTCCCCCTCCCTCTTCCTCTCCCCCCTCCCTCTTTCTCTCCCCCTCTCTCTTTCTCTCCCCCTCTCTCTTTCTCTCCCCCACCCTCTTCCTCTCCCCCTTCCTCTTTCTCTCCCCCTCCCTTCCTCCCTCTCTCTCCTTCCTTCCTTTTTCTCTCTATCTCTTTAGTTCTCTTTCTTCCTCCCTCCTTTCTCTCTCTCTCTTTCTTCTTGGCAGTACTGTTGTTACAAGTTCAGCCTTAACAATAGGTGGTGCTTGGTGGGGGTGTTTCAGAATATCTAGTCTTTGAAATTCCTCCCTCCCCTTTTTTAGACAGGGTCTCATTATGAGTGGCCTAGAACTCACAGACATTTGCCTGTTTCTGCCTCCCAAGTGCAGGGATTAAAGGAATGTGCCACCACACCAGCCACCATATATTTTTGACCTAAATAATACTGATATTTTCCATAACAGTATTATAAACTATCAAAAACCTGAGGTTAACATTTGTGTAATGCTGTTTCTTTTTAATCACTGAGTCACACCTCTAGCTCTGGGTGCAATGCTGTTCACTGAACTATTGTCCTTTTCCCCTTCCAGTCTAGTATCTCATACACTGCAATATAATTGTATGCCTCCTTCGTCTTCTGCAATCCATGATAGCCTTTTCTTTATTGACTTTTGACAAGTATAGCTCAGTAGTTCCAGGACAGGCTCCAAAGTTACAGAGAAACCCTGTCTCGAAAAACAAACCAGAGAGAGAGAGAGAGAGAGAGAGAGAGAGAGAGAGAGAGAGATACAGCTCAGTTATTTTGAAGAAAATAATGTCAATATGGGTTGAATGATGACTTTTCACAATTAGACTGAGATTATGAGTTTGGGACAAGAATTTCAGAGATGGGGCTAGGGAGATGGCTCAGCAGTTAAGAGCACTTACTGCTCTTGAAGAGGACTTGGATTCAGTTCCCAGAACCCACATACTGGCTCACAACCATGCTAACTACTTCTAGGAAATCCATGGTCCTCTTCTTACCTCCATGGGCACCAGACACATGCATGGTGCAACTGCATACCATTCATATGTATAAAATTAAATTAAAAAAGAATTTCAGAGACGATACACCCCTTTGATTATGAATCAGTTATGACAATGTTAATATGTTTTATTAATTTTTTCTGAATTTTTTAAAAATAATTTGACATCTGGGTCTCATTTAACTCAGGCTGACCATGAATTAACTATATATCTGAGGCTTGCCTTGAAATCCTGATTCTCCTGCCTCCACCACCCAAATACTAAGACTATAGGCATGCAACACCAGGTCTGAATCCTGCATTTTTTGGTTGTTAATTAGCTTGCTTTATTTATTTATTTATTTGTTTGTTTGTTTGTTTATTAATTTATTTATTATTTATTTATTTGCCCAGCATTGCAAACATACATTCTCTAAGTATGTACAATTATATAACAACTGAAACAACAATTAAATAAATCAACCTTACTAAAAAGGTCTTGCTCTGATCTTAGTCTTAGAAATAATCACTTTTTTAAAAAGACAATTTCTTTCTATGTATCAGGACTGCCTTGAAACTCACTTTGTAGACCAGGCTGGCTTCAAACTCACAGAGATTAGCCTGCCTCTGCCTCCCGAGTGCTGGGATTAAAGACGTATGTCACCATACCTGGCTCATAATCACTTTTTTTTTTACACAGAAAAATTCAGTATTTTTATTTAAGTTAGTCATTCAGGGTGGTGGTTGACTAAGAATGGCCCCCATAGGCTTGTATATTTGAATGCTTAGTCGTCAGGGAGTGACACTACTTGAGAGGGACTAGGCGCTGTGTCCTTGTTGGATAGGCGTGTACTTGTTGGAGGAAGTGTGCCACTGGGGGTGGGCTTTGGGGTTTCAAATGCTTAAGTCACATTCAATTGCTCTCTCTTCTTGCTGTCTTCCTATCTGAATGCGATACTCTTAGCTATTTCTCCAGCACTGTATCTGCCTGCATGTTGCTATGCTTCCTGCTCTGGTGACCATGGACTAAACTTCTGAAACTATAAGCAAGACCTAATTAAATGCATTCGTTTAGTAGGTGTTGCCATGGTCATGGCGCCTCTTCATAGCAATATAAAACTGATCAAGACATTTAGCAATATTAAAATATGTTTTCAGCAGTACAGAGCAAACATATCAAAGCCTCACTATGGTCAGATAGCCAGAGAAAATAAAATAAAGATGAAGTGTGATCCTAATTAGTCTTATCAATAAAATATTGAGATGATCTAATCTAATGTAAAAGACTGTGTCAGATTAAAATGAAGATTCTTGTAGACCAGGTACATACCATACCTATTGTGAATAATGAAAAATTTGAGACTTTTTTTTTGTTAAAACATTAAGCCTCTGTCAAAAATGTATTTCTCATTTTAGGGTACAGGATTGAAGGACAAGATGATACAAGTAAAGAAAATTTACAAGAAAAAAACTTGACAAAAGTCTTTCAATTAAAGTACTGTAACATTCAAACAACTTAAAATGTAACAAAAGAAACAAGATTACAAACAAAAATGTTTATGGATTTCCAAACATAAATAAATGAAATAGTGTTTAGGCAGTAGGGCTCATGCTGATGGCTAGCAGGAAGTAACAGAGTGTAATATACTTGGGGGAAAAAAAAACAGGCCCAACTGATGGGTGGCAGTAATTTAAGCATCACTGCCAATTTTTTACTTCCAAAATAAAGCCTTGGTTAAACCATTCACACCGTATATTATTCACACCTTCACTTCAGAGATTGAGGACTATATACAACAAATGAATTTATTTTCACCATAAGGATAACATATTGTACCTCTCTGCCAATGTTCCTTGAAAACTTTCCATGTCAAAACCATTTGACAGCAGATATAAACAATGAAATAAATACACAATGATCTTTCTTACGGTCCTGTAAAGATGCATGTTATTTCGTGCTGTTAGCCTTAGGATCACAGTGCATAGAATCCAAATATAAAGAGTTGGACTGACTTTCAATGTAATGTTGGATCCCTCACTTCCTTTCTAATCCCACGATAACTGATAAATTCATTTCATAAGCCCTATCATGCATTAA